CATCTTGGAAGCTTATATTGCTTCTGGAATAAAAGTTTGGAAGCTTTTATAACTTCTCTTCAGTTTTAAATTAAGCCTCATTCTACTCTACATCTTTCAACATTATTCACATTTTTCATCTTTTTAATAAGAATATTTCTCTTAAAAACAAAGTGTCCTTTTTATTATTGCAATAAGCTAATGTATAAATAAAGATAAATCTTGTCTGATGTAAATCTGTTATTCTCAGGTTACTACCTTTTATCTTATCTTAGATATTGATTCTAGAGACTTTTGATTAGTTTTCAACAGTGTTATTAACTAAAGTAAGTCTAACTTTTAATCTCTAATTTATAGGTCTCATCTTTTTTCTTTGCCCCAGAGTAAAGCAGAGCTACTTACAAGGAAATCTTACTGTAGTTTGACCATTGTTAAACATCGAAATTACTCTGAATTCCAATACTAAAACTAATTCTCAATTGAACACTTCTACAGTTTGTGCTTCAGACAAGATTTCCATCATAGTCTTAAAAAGTGTTCTCCAGAACTATCAACAATTTTTTCTAAACTTTAAAAAAGTGCAAAATACGTGGTTCCAATTTTTCAAATCTCTAGAAAACACTTTGACCTCTTCAAGTATCCTACGATTCCTCTTCATTCTGATGTTAGTCTCTTATTATTTTCTATGTAAAGGTTTTGAGGTGATAAAATTACTTATTTCTAACTACAGTAGTAAAGTTATTCTTGAAGGCCTACCCTCTTTATTTCAAGTAACTTTAAGGTTCTATATTTGTTCCTGTAATATTTTATATCTACAATAACAATCATAATGAAATCTAAAGTGGCTCTATTTGCTGATGACTCCACTTTATACTCTTGTCTTGACAATAAATCTTCACTTTTTAATTGCTTAAAACAAGCAGCCAATTTTAAATCTGATCTCTCTTCAGTAATAACCTAAGGCTTGCTGTGTCTTATGGATTTAAATTCTGGACTTAAAATCCACAATTTTTGTTAGGCAACAAAATTTATTTATTTACTGCAAAAAAATATTGCAATATTGTTTGCATTCCTATATTGACAAATAAAAACCCTCTTACTCTGAGACAAAGTCTAAAAGCACATCTTAAATGTAATTAGCCATTTTCCCATTGTTATAATGTTGCATTTCTTTCTTTTTTCTACAAATATAATCATAGACAATGCTCAAACGAACTATCATCTCTATAACGATAAAGCAAAACTCATTCTCGCTTGGCAATTTATTCAACAAGTTGCATCCTTTAACTGTATTTGTCCCTTCATGCAATAAAATCTTTTTATAGCATGTTAAATAATTCCATTTTTTAATTAGTAAATTAGATTTTTAAAGTATATAAATGTATGCAAGTATTTAATAAGTAGTAAATGTAAGCATAAAATTATAATATTTTAATTATTATAAATTTACAAAAGTCACATTTTTAGCTGGGACTGGGGTCCTGGTCACTAACTAATGTTTTGTAAAATTTATTTACATTTTCAAAAGTTAATTAAAAGACATTTAGCAACTAGAATTAATTAGCACCTTGAAAGTTATAAACAATCTCATATATTTAAAAACTTAAATTTATCTATTAATTTCAAAAATCTGGCTAACTGTGATTCTTTTAAGATTTTGGATAATGCTCCTACAAAATACAAATTAAAAGAAGCCCACCACATTAAATGGAAATCCCTCAACTAATAAACAAACTTCATATTAAGCTATAAACTTAACTATTTAATTTTACTGTCAGTTTATTATATTCTTTTTTTTTTTTTTTTACAGCTAGATATTTACCGACTTATTTTGTAATAAATATATCGGTTTATTATGTAAATTTTTGTTTGTTATTATTTCTGTATAAAGATTTCTATTTTTTTAATTTAAATTTATTTTAGAGTTTTATTTTTGTAAAAAATGTCAAAAGTAAAAAACATTGTGT